AAAACCACGTGTTTGCCATTCAACTGCGGCGTCGCGTTAAACGTTATATAAAACTGCGAAGTATTGGAGTTCTTCCCTAAAAACAACACTCATGATCTCTTCGCTGACCTATCCTATATCTACCCGTATTGCACATCCCGACCACACCCGCTCCGTCGTGCCGCATCTTCAGCCCGGCAACATCATCCTTGAACTTCTTACCGTAACTACCTTGACTAGCCTCGTCAACATCCCCTGTGTGCTACACCTGGACTCTCTAATATCCATCTTAACATCAAGATACTATCAGTGCTGATAACTCTAGGACTGATTCTATGACTGGGTATAATCGATCAAGGTAACATAAGATCAACGAAAATCAGCGGACCCATAGTATCAACGAATAGTAGAGACCTTCATTGTCGCGTGAAAAAAAACAAATGAATAGTCCTTTTTTATCTTTTTTTTCTTTTTTTTTCTTAATAGTATGAATATATAGATAAGATATAAGATAAACATGTCTACTTTACTATATATTGTGATTATATTTATATCTATTATAATACCATGTTATACTATATATGGTATGAGGGCATGTATTATACATTAACACACGCAATCGATAGAAATCATTTTATCATATATATCCCCAATAGATGATAGGTCAAGCCACACGGTTCAAGTGTGACTTGAGCCTTCCTATTCCCCCTCCCAGTACTATCCCACTTTCGCCGCCAGCGCCTGTGCCAGTGACAATGTCCCCCGTCTGAGCGACAAAGTCCTTCACTACTCTGTGGAACGGACAACCAATGTACGAAAGTCTTTTACCTGAGTTGAGGGTCAGCCGAGATGAGAGTAGCAAAATGCACTACTACTACTACTACTACTACTACCAGAATTCCTAGAAACACCCTTGTCGCCTTTGATGAGGTGCTTGAAGTTGTCCACGGCTAGAGGGGAGGTAGTGTCCAAGAGCTCTATCGTTACTCGATCTACAGGCCTCTTGAAAATGGCCGAACCTTTCTGCGACCACTCATAGTCGGATAGATATCTATGAGAGGAATAAAGTACACTGATAGTGTACAGGAAGGCATACGGAATAGCCTACATAGAGCAATGGCTATGTTCTACTTTTGTATGTACTAGGAAAATCGCAATCACCATTGATCAAAAAAGTATACGTTCGTTTCCCTCAGTTGAGTTTGGGAGTTTCCTCACTAAATATAGAAGTTTACATACGAACTAGGGTAGAAATGTACAGAAACCAATGAGAATTTTCCGAAATTTCCTCAGAATTTTCATATTGTCACCAACATATGTGGTTGACCATGTGCATGTTTTCCCATACCACAGCGCCTGCTAATCGGCAACAAGGAGAGATATGTAAAGCATATTACAGCTCAGGTAGTCGTGCAACTTCTGACCCGCCAAGTTTGGTGATATCCGGACTGCTCAGACCGTATCTTAGGTTGGACCATACAAGATACAAAACAGGCCCGGTTAGAGCCTCCGTTAATTACTTGAGGTTGCACTGAGACACGAAGTCGACCCCTCTAGCATATGCAGTCCGGCCGCTCTCCTCCGTATCGATGTCGATATCCAGAAAGACTACTGTGTTATCCGCTGACATTTCCGTAACCAAAGGTTTTCAAAACCAGTTGGGAGGTGCTAGTGCATCATCACTATCATTGCTGTCCCAATAGTACACTATGTGTCTTCCTCGAGTAAAAGAAACCCTCGAGTAAGCTCATGGTGAAAATAGCCTACATCGGTTAAGTATAATTAGGTAGCCATTCCCCTGCTATTACACAGTTGTGACCTTAATCAGCTGCTTCGCTCCGCTGTTCAGAGCGAAAAGACTTGCACTTTTCGGCAGATGTAGGGTAAGAGCGGTCTGAGCTGGGGGTTACCACTTAAGACACGTCGTGATGGACTAGGGAAGCTGATTATAGGGTATGCCCTATAACGTGAAGTTGACCAGTAAATGAACTTGAGTTCATCGTAGCGTTGTGAGGGTAGGCATGGGCCCGACTATTTCAATCATCATTCCAATTAGGTTTGTCTGTACTACTACTGTTATTCCGTATTAAATGCCTAGCATTATACCGGCTGGTATTACCAACTTCAACTACTCTGCATGTTTCAGTATAGCAGCTGCCCAAGGACTGCGTTCTCTGGTACCTTTCGAGAGGAGAATCGTAATAACATCCGCCCGAGAGGTTCCAAATTTTCATTCGCAACTGCTGGGCTTTGTCGCTCCTGTGGCGATTTGCGAAAAAAGAATCATACGAAGAAAAGAAAATCGATTATTGTATATTCGAAATATTCATATGTAATGTACTTTCATCATACTATGTGTACTACGAGCCTCCATAGATCCACGGTTAACCTTATAATCATTTATAGTTTCATATTTAGTTTTTATCATCGAACCAGATATATATGAAAAAATATAGTTTCTACTTTTACCAAAATTGTGATGCAGTGATCCTCTCGGTGTATTTCCGCGCCTATTGATTTTTCGTGTTCTGCCAATCGCGAATTCGAGGACTTTAGGCAGTGACTTCTCTTGAAGTCGTCGATTCCAACGCTGAAATGATTGTGAACTTGTCCAAGGATTCTCTTCGTGCTGGTCATCATCATCATCGCTCTTTCACTGTATGCGTATCTTCAGATAAACGCTGAGGGCCAAGATTCTCTACAGCACAATGGTGGTCTCACGTCTACGTTGCAGATTCTGTTCGAGCAGATGTCTGACGGTTCGACAGGACCCGCGGACATCCGAAGGTTTTTCGATCAGTGCAAGAAGGTTTGCCCGGAGCTCATGCGGGAGCCTTATCGTCAGCATGACTCGCAGGTGAAGGGGAAACTACTTTTAAAGAGAATATGGAATTGCTCAATCTGATTGAGAAAATTTGTTGTCTACGATCGTATGAGTTGAATTTTATTATTCTCCTGTAGAATTGCATAATGCATTTTATTAAGGAGTAATGAAATGAAATGCAAATTGCATTTCACCGAGTGAATTGGCCGTTGCACTCAGCGATGGAGGGTATCCGAGGTCGCTGCTAGGTTGGTAGAGATGAGATCCGAATTTGGTATTTTTCTCTGTGTAGGGGAATATTACAAAGTTAATGATAAGACACTCTTAGCGTCTCCGCAGAGTCACGGAATCACTTAGAAGGTTCCGCGTTGTCTTTCGATCGATTGTGTATAAAAAGTCTCTTTAATTCCATTGAAGACTATGTTACCGAGTGAACAGGGTTAACTGCAACTCAACACTCGGGGACTGGGGTGAAGAATTTTAATAGTATTAACAAGCAGCAGTTTCATCATCAACATATGCGCACGATACAGTAGAGATGCGGGGTATTTCAACACAACCCTTTAGTGAATAAGGCTTAATCAAATTCGTCGATTTGTCTGATGGGTTTTCGATCAGAAGAGCTTCGCTCCGCTCGTAGGTTCTCCTGGAAGCTGTACTGGATGCTTTACCACCAGACACACAGAGAATGTTCCAATTCAAATTGAAGGATTCTGTTTTATGTAGGCTAGCGTTTTAACACGGGTTAAAACGGTGGGTTTCAGGTGATAACTGTAACTATGTTAACCATATAAATACTACTGACCATATGCTTCGACTGAAGATCGGCGCGCATCCGCACGCTGGCGAGCCCGTCGTGGTAGAACTCCATCGCGAAGATGTCAGTGAGAAATGGGGCCTCCAGTGGGACGAGGAATCGTACAAGCAACGAAGACACCTGGTAAGTGGTATATGTAGTGGGATGGTATCCAAGGGTTGAAGCATGGAAGATACGGATTAGGCCCGTTTGGGTACCTCGAGGAAGGAGGAGGTGGAAAATCTGTTCGATATTGTCGAAATTCGGAGAGCACTCTTCTCCAATTTGTTTATAATACAAATCTCCATCACTACCGCGCGCCACGATAGAGGTCTTTCTATTCACAGGTGATTCGATCGCTATCATCGACCTCAAGGGTTGCCCTGCAACTTAGCGGTTACGTTGGTTGGCAATGTGTTAGAGTCAACGACAGTACCTCTCGGATGGATATGCGCCAGGAGCTGTCCCAACGATTAAACGTGGAAATGGCACTTTTACCACCACCTTCAGTGCAGAGCAGCTCATCGGACCTGGATTGGCTTATAAAGGCTACTTATAGTCCTCGTAAGCTGCTATAATCGTTTGGGTGAACTATTCCGATGTGGTGTGGAAAAAGATGCCCGTAGGAGTGTTCCATAGGCATTTTCTGAGTTTCAAGAGCGCTCCCACGATCGGGTTCTACATGTGAAATCCAACCCTCGGAGCTTCCTATATAATACGCCGATCGAACCGCATGTTGCCGATGAGAATTGAAGTCGAATCGTCCGTCACGCGCCACGAAATTGGAGATAAAAAATTGGAGCTTTTTTCAGAGCTGAACCGCGAGGTCATTTCCGACTATCACTGTGACGAGTGCAAGGCTGATACCTCTTGTAACGGCGGACGGAATTTCGTGGCGCGTGACGGAATTTGATGCCCTTCAGGTACCCGTATTACTGAGATAGCATCGTCGATGCCTCCTTGTCTGATTGTTCATATTTGGAGGGACAAATTCTTCACTGGCGTGAAAGATACCACATACGTGTCTTTCGATCGGTACGTTTGGGGGGTATCTTATAGGAATCTTGTAAATCTTCGCGCTGCGCACAGCAGGCCGAGAAAGAGTTATTTCGGACACACTCGATTGTTATGGTATGTTAGGAAGGTAGATTTATTTACTTTAACGTGGTGGTTTTGTTGGAGATCTTCGCGTGTACACTGTGTCTTGGTAGTGTCGGTAAAAAAATATGTACATGGTCAACTACATGTGTTGGTGATGATATGGAATTTCAACACACTCTGAACACTTCTACCCGAACTCGTATGCAAACTCCTGAGCTGAGGAAGGTGAACATATATTCCAACAATGTATATTGGTGATGACAATAAACGATATACACTGCATGTAAAAGTTCGGGTTTAAAACGTTGTCAATGGTTTTTCACCATTATTATCATTATGCTTCTCAAATGTCGTTGATAAACTCTTATAATTAACTTAGTTCTATTAGAAAAAGTGATTTGCATAATGATTGGGTATATCCACCGACGCAGGCACTTGCGCACTCTCGAGACGCCCGATGGTCGGCAGATCTACCACCTCACAGGAGTCGTGGAGCACTTGGGCTATCGGCTCGATAGCGGCCATTATGTGGCGTATGTCGCTCGAGATGCTCCTGATGGCGAACAATGGTACTGGTGTAGTGTAATGGGTATTGTATTGTTGATTCCATGTAGGTACTTTTGTTCTGATTCTGTGGTGGAGCCCATATCGTTTGAAGAGGTAGCGACGAAGCATGCCTATCTGCTATTCTATGTCCGAATGGACTGATCTCCTTGTCGTCGTTTATGAGTCCATCACAAACCGCTGATGCATTGCTGTTTCTAGTAGAGGGGCGACCCTCGGTTCCTCGTATCATACTTATAGTCGGCGAGGTGTCGTGTTGGGAGGGGGAGGGGTATTGTTAGGGTGAAGTGGCGGATGGATGGTATGGCAAGTGCCCTACCTTACGACTGTGCCCTCATCGCGTGGCTGGTACCGAGTGGAAATCGATCATGTGATCGATTCGAAGATATTCTTCAGCGTGCGGCGTCGAGTATGAGTACAGAGGCTCTTGACAGGCAGTTGGCACTGTGCGGGACGGAGAAAGATATTTACGAGGTCTGCCGATGTGGTAAACTTAGCGGAGCGAAGCTCACTTGGTGTACAGCGACTCTATTGCTTTGTCGTCTTGGTGGAAACAATAGTGCAGAGAAGTGCTCACCTGTGAGGAAGTGCCCACTAGGGCGTACGCTGAGGTCTACAGTAGAGCGAGTATATTGTGACTTGCTTGGTGATGGTGTGCTCGAGGAAGCGATAGTGGAGGAAATTTGGAAGGTCCTTTGTTGTGTATATGTGAATCGGAGATATCAGGGGGAGGTGACAGTAAGGAGTTGCATTGCTACATGTGAGTTGAACGAACGGGGTTTTTATATTTCCTTCGGGTGGGGATTTTTCGTTAGCGGAGCGAAGCTGTTTGTGTAGGTAAAATAATGTTGCCGTTATTACCATGCGGAGGATTCCACGGGGAGCTGCCTCGCATAGTGGGAAGGCTGAGGAAAGTGAGTGGAGATGCGCAAACTCCTAGGGGACTCCCCTGGGGGGGCAAACTAGAGTCATCTACGTTGGGTGACGATACGCGAGGGAGTTGCATGTAGGGATAAGCCTACTGCTTTACTATGGTGCTCTTACTAGGGGCATTAGGCTATTGTTTGCAATGATAAACAGTGCGGTAAAATTTGCATATGATCAACCACATGTGTCGGTGACAATATCAAAACTCTGAGGAAATTTTGTTAGTTTCTGTACACTTTTACTCGCGATTCGTATATAAACTGCTGTGATTAGTGAGGAAATTTTTGAGCTCAGCTGAGGAAGGCGAACATATTTTGCAGTACTGATGATAAACGTTGCCGTTGGAGCACTGTTGTGGACAGTATTGGAGGAATATATGTTTGCTTCCTCAACTGAGTTCAGCAGTTTCCTCGCTAATTATAAGAGTTTGTAGACGAATTCAAATTGAAGTGACGGAAAACCAACGAGAATTTTCCAAAATTCCCTCAGAATTCACATATTTTCACCAAAACGTGTAGTTGACCATTTGAAACTATTTCCGCTTAAATTGTGATGGTGCTGCTAAAATCGTGAGTGTTCCTGGGCCCCACTTAGGTCTCTACAGTGGAGCTCGCTGATATCAGTGTAGCAGTGCAACGACTACTCCCAGCAGAGAGGCTGGAGGCTGCCACGACTTTGCAACAGCTGGTTGACGAGGTTACCGCTTGTTTATCGACTACTGATTGAAACCTAAGTGCAGACTGACATGGTGCATGCTGTTGTCGTTTAAACGTGTTGGTTTCTCTCACGGGCGTTCTTGGTCTCTCACAAAAGCAATGATAGTAACAGCTGTGACCCGATCAAATTGCGTCACGCGCCACGAAATTCCGTCTGCTATTACAAGAAGTATCAGCCTTCGAATAGTTCGTAGTTCTCCGTGTATGCATCGCCTCGATAGAGTAACGACGGCCGAACTACTACGACTTTTCCTAGGAGTTTTCAGACTTCTCAAGACGATTGCCCGAAGCCGACGATTAGCGCTGCTGTGGAGGTTCTTCTATGTGGCCAAGACGGTCGCCGGCGTGTTGGGCCGGTGGAACAAGGCAGCACTGGATGTGAGGGAATTTCGCGGGGAAAAGCATTCTAGCTGGGGATCGAACTTGGGACCTCCGGAGCCCCAACATGGCAACTCTTCCACGAGAGCAACTCCTCCTTCGCATCGGTCGAGACTCCGTTGCTGTAGCAATCCCGGATGCATGGGAGAGTGCTTCGCTCCGTCGCCTGATTTTTTCAACACTTATTCCCCACCTATAATTCTAAGCTGAGCAGTGCATGGCGAATTATTGCATAATCTTGTTGGGTTGTGTTTTTTTGTGGTGAGAAAGTTACCTCCTCCGTAGCCGATGCCCCTCCCAGTTACCAATGCTTCTTCCTGTCCTCCACCGCATGTTCGTCTGCTGAATGACGCAGAGTTCGCCCAAGTAGGAGGTCACTTGGGACGAGACAATAATCGAATATTTTCTCAGTGCCTGTTAAACGTGGACTACGTGATGTGGCTCGCGTCAGAGGGCTACTTCCAGGACGAGGCGTTTCTTAATTATTTGAAGTACCTCGAGTATCTCCGTCAACGTAGCATAGACTTTGTCCGGTTCTTTTCGTGAAGAATGGAAGTTTCTTTCAGCGTCCTACTTCCACCTGTTGGTCTACCCAAGTGCCATGGATATGATAAGAATTCTGCAATGCCCATCAGTTCGACAGCAGTTATTGAAGGAGCCAACTGCAGCTCGAGCGGTCCTGCAGGAACAATTGTGGTGTGCTTGGGGGCTGCGAAAAGAAGAAGAGTTGAACCAGAATGACGAAGTTGATGAGGAAATGCTGAGGAGTGAAATCATTCAAAGTGAAAAATAACACCTCAATTTTGCGCTGTGTTGTGGTCACGGCTTGATGACTATAATTTGTAGTTTTCCCGTCTTGAATGGTGCCGCGACGCCCACTGGTTCAGAAAGGCAAGTCGTTGCTTGAATACTGTTCATGACGAGATGCTTCATGTGAAGCGACACAATATAGGGCTTCCTATCACGTTCTGTCACTCGCGTACTGTTGTATTCTAGTTGGTGCATAATGTGAGGTTACTCCAACTATCATCCCACGTTATTCCAAACAAGTTCTGACTATGGCATAGCTCATTACTGATTCTCGGTAGTACAACGTCTATTATAGCACCTAGTCCAACTTGGAATTATGCACGCAGGCATTACTATAATATCGTTGATGTTGTCGGTTCCCCACTGCTCTTGATGGGAGCTGGTGAATCAGATATTATCAGGAGTTCCTCGTTTCCGCTGAGAAGAGGCATGTTGAAGACGAAGGAATTCATCGTTGACCCAAAGCGGCAAATGCTGGTGTTGGTTTCAGGAGCGGCTTGCAGGGTTGATTCTCCGATTAAAAAAGCGAATGCGGACTTTTCAGGAAGTGGTCGTGTTTTTGTAGGCTTACGAAATTTAGTGCAAGTTCGACTTTCTTGTGCAAATCGAACTTGCACTAAAGTGCACTTGCCTGACAAGAAGCTTGTCAGGCTCAGCTCGGTGATTCAGTCAGGGTCCCGACGACTTGGCCAGTTATCGTCTGAACCATTTCGGATGACTACTCAACTTACATATCAATCAAATGTATCGCTTTCACCGCCCGACTACCGTGGCTTGGACTTGAGCCTCATCGAGCTATTGAGGACTTACCTCTTGTCGAGTGGGGCCATATCTCAAGGAATAGGGTATATCAATTCGCAATTATCACGAGAATATCAACGGCGTGCGGAGGCTTATGATAAGAGATGGACTGAATCATTCCAGAATCTCTTCGTGCAGGGCAGACTCGAGCCAGAGCTCCGATACCACAATGAATCTGGCCTCTCAGTTATAGCTCAGTAGTGCGAGTGATGTTACTCGACTTCTGGCAACAAACCATATCTACTTCGGCAGTTGGCGACAGTCGTATCATCGTCAAGTCTAGCCATACTATGGCTGGTAGTCTATGGCTGCCATAGACTACCAGCGCAAGATATCCAAACGCGTGATTGAATCTCGTACTCTGGGTCAGGCCGTGACGTGTGTTGGAGACTACAATATGATCCTTACGACATTGATCGTTCCCATAACGTGATGTGAATATCTTAAAGATGCGTTAACCGAAGTATATGGGAGGCATCTGAGAGCAGGAGTGGACCATCCTACAGTGCTGTACACCGATGTTGGATGCTGTGCAGTATCCAGGGACGGCTCAGGAACCCTCCAAAGATACGTCCCTTGTGGAGTCAATATACGATTAGATCCGATGCATTGCATAATGAGAATGGTGAGAACTACTGACCAGTCGCACTTGCTCAAGAACAAGTTTGCTAAAGATTTGTCGAAAGCCTTTTTCATCTGCAACTTGGAAGACGAGAGGGCCCTGCGAGCTGCTAGGGAGGCCTTGCCAAGGCCTCCCAGTCATACCCAAGGCCGCCTTGGGTATGACTGGGAGGATCCCCAAAGCGGAGGGATTGAGATCCGTCAGAAGAGCGGTGCCAGAGCCGAACGAACTCGACTCAAGGGTCGAACGGGTCATTCGTACATACCATTCCGTGGACAAATCGATGAAGCGAGAGTGGCCCACTCTGAGTGGGAGGAAGAGTGCGCTCTGAAAGAGCTCACCGGACAGAGTGAGCCCTCAACACGTATGGCGGCTCCGCTCGGGTCGCACTGCCGACCGCTACTGGGCGAAACCTTCTGGTTAACCTATGAACATCAGCATATCCATCTGCTGGGCGGTTGTCTGAAAGATTGCGCAGAAAACATGATGAAGGTAGGGACGACCAGATAACGGAACAGCTCGATAGAATTGGATCATTTCCGCTCCCTTCGGGGTACATCTAGGGTAGAATGTGTATATTCTCTCTACGATCGTGCACTCAAAAGCCTTACATGCGTGTCTCGCTCGTTGTACAATCTGAAGTTATTATGGACGATTCATGCGGTCAATCGTCGTGCAAGACTCCGTCTCGGCATGCGTGTCCCCGATGTTTACCAAACTCCGAGAGAGATTGAACTCATGGGAGATGTCGCGAGGGAAATGTACGCAGATTTTCGATTGGTGGCACGTGATGCACCTCTTCCGATCGCGGGATTCGAGTATTGCGCGTCAGCACACGAGATACCACCCGAGGAGGACATCCTCAGTGCACAGAGGAGCGATCCTTGATG